GATTCATCTGGAAAGGCAAGATTAGTTAAAATGATTTTGGAAAGAAACAACAAAGTTGATGAGCTCATACTGACAGATCTCAAGATCTCAGATCACAAAGGAGCAGTAATCAGGAAAGTGTGGTTTTGGGCTTAAGATCATCTACTGATAATGCAGAGGTAGGCTTACATTGACTATACGGGAAAAATTCATGTTAGCTCCCACCTCCTGCTGTATGCAAAAGTTAACTTGATAGGAACCACATACATAAATGTAAGAGTTAAATGATTCCATTTCCAAAAGAAAATGTGGACCAAGAAACTTTTGATATTCTGTTAGCCAAATAGTATTTACTTATGTATTTATTTGGGAGAGAGGGCAAGTAGTTTTTAAACAGACTACACAAAACATGAACTGTAAGAAGAAAAAAGGTAAATAACTTGCACTAAATTAAAAATCCTTGCTCTTTGAAAGACACAGTAAAGAGAATATGAAGGCAGGTCACAAATCAGGAGGGAGTATTTGCTAAGCATTTATCTGATACAGGGATGTGTATCCCAAATACGTAAATAACTGCAGCAACTGGAGAAGAAGAAGATGAACAACTCAATTAAAAAGAGGCAAAAGAGGGGCACCTGGGTGGCTCAGTTGGTTAAGCGTCCAGCTTTAGCTCAGGTCATGATCTCAGTTTGTGAGATTGGGCCCCGCATCTGGCTCAGATTCTTTGTCTCTCTCTCTCTTTCTCAGCCCTCCCCCCCTCTTTTTCTTTCTCAAAAATAAATAAAATAAAGCATGAGAGAGGGAGAGAGAGAGAGAGAGGGAGAGAGAGAAGAACGCTTACTCAGCAAATAGGGCTGAAACAAGTACATATTTGCAGGAGAGAAAGAGAACATTTTCCCCAGGCTATACATACACCAAAAATGAACTTTAAATGGTGCATAGGCCTGAATGTAGATGAAAAAACTATAAAACTTCTAGTAATAAATAGAAGAGAATCTTTTGACTTTGGGGTATACCTTCTCAGGTAGGAAACACAAAGTAGACTTCTAACATTAAAAAGTTGATAAATTGGACTTTATCAAAACTAAAAACTTTGGCTCCTCGAAAAAAATAATGCCATTAAGAAAATGAACAGCAAGCTACAGACATATAGGAGATATTTGCAACATATAAATCAGACCAGACTTAAAAAAAGCAACTCTTGCAATTCATTGATAAAAAGACAAAGAACCCAAGAAAGAGGTGAAAGATGTGGACACACCCTTCAGAGAAGAAGATCTGCGGAGAGCTAGTAAGGACTTGGGAAGATAACGGCTTCATGGATCAACAAGGAAACAAAAACCACAATGACTTCACATGATGCTATAGCACACACTCCTTGCAATGGCTAAAGTGAAAGATTGCAAACACCAAGTATTGGCAAGGGTGCAGAACAACTTTAACTATCAGCACTCGTGGGGGCATGACATGATGTAGCTGTTTTAGAAAACAGTATTCAAGCCTCTTAAAATGTTAAGCATAAATCTATGTGACTCAGCAATTATTAGACTCCCAGGTATATACAAAATAGCAGTGGAAACATGTCCACACAAACACTTGTACGTGACTTGTCATCCTAGTTTTATTTTTCATAATGAAAAACAAAACAGTCCAAATGTCCATTTACAGATGAATGGATAACAAAAGCATGGTATAGCCACACAATGGAATATTATTCAGCAGTAAAAAGGAGTGTGTTGTGGTGATTTGAAACAAGGTGAATGAATCTCAAAATTCTTTTGCTTGGTGGGGGTGCCTGGGTGGCTCAGTAGGTTAAGCAGCCAACTTCAGCTCAGATCATGATCTCGAGGTTCGTGGATTCAAGCCCCGCGTCGGGCTCTATGCTGACAGCCAGCTCAGAGCCTGGAGCCTGCTTCAGATTCTGCATTTCCCTCTCTCTCTCTCTGACCTTTCCCTGCTCATGTTGTCTTTCTTTCTCTCTCAGAAATAAATAAAAAACATTGAAAAAATTATTTTGCTTGGTGAATGAAGCGAGGCACAAAAGAGTGTATATCATATGATCCTATTTATGCAAAACTTAAGAAAATACACTTTGATCGACAGTGTTCAGAAGCATCTCGTGATGGCATGAGACAGAGTGAAGGGAAAGAAGTATTCCTTAGGGCAGGAGAAAACTGGGCAGTGATGGAGATGCTTGGGATCATGGTGGTGGTGGTGGTTCGTGGATGTAGGTATCTGTCGAAACACTGAACTGTATACTTTATTTTAAAAAATTTTTTACATTTATTTATTTTTGAGAGACAGAGCACAACTCAGGGAGAGGCAGAGAGAGAATGAGTCACAGAATCCGAAGCAGGCTGACGGGACAGAGCCTGATGCAGGGCTCAAGCCCACAAATCGTGAGATCATGACCTGAGCCAAAGTCAGATGCTTAACCAACTGAGCCACCCAGGTGCCCCTCGAATTGTATTTTAGATATGTGTGATTTATTGTGTATAAATTACTCTTCAAGACATTTGTAAATAAATAAAATCAATATAATGCAAGAAAGAAAATAATGTCTTAAATCTTGATGCCTCAAACGTTACCTTCTTTACTAGTTGGACACATGGCTTCCTCTTGGATGTTCTCCCAAATATTCCTGAGAGTCTCCCTGACTGCTCACAGGTACTGTTTGTCCTCAGTTTGATGACCTGGGATAGGGAGTTCTGGAAGCAGGGTTTGCATCTCTTCAGAATTGTTTTGTTCCCCTGTGGTCCCCAGGTCTCGCTGGTATCACTGATCCTGTTCACCTTGGTGGCTACTTACATGGCGGACGTGCCTTCCCAGAGAGTGACTCTTACCCGCCCCAGGATGCTGCCTTGATGTTCCCTTTTGTCACCACTCTTTTAGATGGGTTCCCACAGCCAGCACCTAATGGCATGCCCTGCTCTCCCTATACGGCTTTACTCTTCCTGGAGCCCAAATTTGGGAGGTATTCAGAGCAAGATTTAAGCACAGACACAGATTTCACCTGGATTTCTTGTTTTCTTTAAAGGCCAGGCATACATTGTGGATAGCATTTTGTACTTGATGATATGGAAATAAGACATCCAAGTTCCCCTTTCATAATAAAAATACATATTTCCCAGCACTTGGGTGACTCATTTGGTTAAGCGTCTAATTTACACTCAGGTCATAATCTTGCAGTCCGTGAATTTGAGCCCTGTATCAGGCTCTGTGCTGACAGCTCACAGCCTGGAGCCTGCTTCAGATTCTGTGTCTCTCTCTCTCTCTGTCCCTTCCCCACTCACACTCCTTCTCCTTCTCTCTCAAAAATAAATAAACATTAAAAAATTTTTTTAAATGTGTATTTCCTCTTTACGAAGGACACCACTTTTGTCCCTCAGGATATTAGCTGGCTAGCAATTTCATAAGGCTGAGGTTGAAACCCCAGATCGGATTGCATTTTGCTATCTGTTACACTTCCTGTTGTCTATAAGCTTCTCACACTACAGTGAAAATAATAACATCTGAGATACACTTAAAATTTTTTATTCTTGAGTTAATTTTAAAGGCTTGCAAAGCATCACTGTTTTTTACTTAAAGTTATAAACAAGGTGGGTGTAAAATCAATGCTGTCCATTACTTGTGTCAGTTCAAATACCTCAGTCATCAGTGAATGCGCCAGCTTGCAAAGGCCTACAAGTTTCACGGCTGTGAACAGTTCAGTGTCACCCCGGGTGATACAGGCTAACATCTCCAGCTAGTCCTTACGAATACAAGTGACTCCAAGTGACTCTGCCCCTTTTCCGGACACTTAAGCACAAATGGAATGCATTTTTGTTGTCGACTTTGGTCCAGAGGTCTCTCTGGTCCAGCAAGAGAGCAGACAAAGAAATGATAATGAGAGAGGCTAATGTCCGGGTGGAAACAAGAGCCCTGAGTAAGGGTCCTTGCTCCGTATTTATTAAGGTCAGGAGGCTTACATCTGTGATGGACGTGCAGAAAGAAACATTAAACAGTAATTATTAATTCACATGTATGAGAGAAAAGGGGTTTCGAAGGTAAGTGGTGTTAGGGGTTAGGGTCAAGACAAATCAACATCGAGGCGCCAAGCAGGCGGCCTTTTGCTGCAGGCACTGTATCTGTTCATCTTAACTTTTCTAGGGACTCAGATGAATGGGGCATGGCACCTCAGGGTTAACAAGCCATCTTTCTTGCGGGCTGACGTGGGGCGCTTTCACCCTGCAGTGGTGGCCTTCTGCCTCTACCTCTTCTCAGACGCTTTCATCCTGTGGAAGCGGCATTCTGCCCTAAGCCTTGTTAAGCGATTGGTGCAAGCTCAGAGAATTCTTAAATGTATCCCCCACACGTTTTCAATGTTTTCTTCAGTGGTGGACAGTCAGTGCTTGTTAGGCCCTGGAGGAATTGGTTGGAGCTGGTGGGCAGTGTGAGGGTGTCTCCCGTGGGCCCGTGATGGCTGTGCATCCCTCCCTCCTCTGCCGGCTCAGGCCGTGTGGGCACTGGAGCGGCACCAGGCCTCACCCACTCAGTCGTGAGAGTCGCTGTCTCCACTGGCCTTCCAGGGTTGGTGGTCATGCCTGCAGAGCCTCCAAAGAGTGGATGTTGAACAATTAAACAGTGGAATTCAGCTGCTACATGTGTGTGTGGGGGGACTTTTGATGTCCTGAGAGAGGAAGAATCTTGAAGACCACAGACTCTGTGTGGGTTGGGATGTGTGTCCTATACCTGCATCTATTTTATTCACTAGTATCATCACCATCATCACCATCACCATCATCACTATCATCACCATCATCACCATCATCACCATTACCATCATCACCATCATCACCACCATCATCACCATCACCATCACCATCATCACCATTACCACCATTATCACCATCATCACCATTACCATCATCATCACCATCATCACCATTACCATCATTATCACCATCATCACCATCACTATCATCACCATCATCACTTACCATCTGTCTATCTAAAAAAAGGAACAGAATGTTTGGAGCAAATTGTCTATGCAGAGATGGTGTATTGAGAGCTCTCAATCACGCTCAGAGCACATGGCCATGATTGTGCCCTCAGGATCCTGGCTAGACTCATCCTTCCTCCTCTGCTCCACGGGCCCAGGAGGTGAAAGCTCAGGTGTCCTGCCTTCACATGTGTCTCTACTGTGAAAACGTGCAGCATTTACTGAAATGGTGCTCATTCTGTTCCCATATGACACCCAAACTCAGAAATGCAGGAGTGGGATGGACCTCTCATCCAACCTCCCAGATGGAAGGTGAGTGGCTGCAGAGAATGAGGAGAAAGTATCTGTTGGCCGCTCAGGGTATGGGGCTAGTAGACCAAAGCCAACGACATGCATGGGACATTCTCATAGCCGTCTTCAGCAGCCTCCTGGTTCTCCCCTGCAGGGCCATCTGGGTGTGCCTTCTTCACCTCGGAGTAGATGACTACAGGTTCCTGGTGGAAATCCCACAACCATAAGTACCTAAGGACAGGTGAAGATGAACAGAAGGGAGAGAGAGCCAGAAAAGGAGACCTACCTCAGCCTTCTGCTGTGTCCTTGCTGAATGTGCTGTTGGATGGGAAGTGGAAAGAGAAGTATTAGACTGTGGGTGACAACTTACAACCCACTCACAACACACTTCAGTCTTTCCTCTGCTGCTTGAGCTGCCACTCGCTTGCTGGACTCTCCTCAGCCTCAGACAGGACATCCCTTCCCCACACATGATAAAGTCTTCCTCTGCCCCCCAAATGTCCAGAGTGACTTTCCGGGTGATTTCCTTCTTTCTCCATGGCTCATTGCTCTGGCGAAGTGGGTCCCTGCCCCCATTCCAACCCCACTCAGGGCCTCTGTGGTCACACTGATTAGGGGAAGGCAGCATGTGTGGTTCAGTCTGTGCAGGGAAAGTGGAGGAGGCAGGAGAGAGGGTTGGCATGCTAAGACCACACGGCAAATTCCTGGTGAAGATTTTTAGTGAAGCATTAGTAAAACTCAGTTTATGCATTTCTTCTATCCTTCTGAGAGGTCCTCTGGATCTCTTTAGTGTATTTATTCAGCCATCAGTGGACAATAACCTTTTTAAATTTTTTTAATGTTTGTTTATTTTTGAGAGAGAGAGAGAGAGAGCAGAGGAGGGGGGAGAGAGAGAGAGAGACATAGAATCTGAAGCAGGTGCCAGGCTCTGAGCTATCAGCACAGAGCCAGGCATGAGGCTTGAACTCACTAACTGTGAGATCATGACGTGAGCCAAAGTCGGACGCTCAACCGACTGAGCCACTCAGGTACCCCAACAATGACCTTCTATTAAGCACTGGTAAGTTACAAAGGCAGAGAAATGACTACAAGTTCAGTCCATATACTCAGAGATCCTACACTTTTTAGGGGGGAAATGGGCATGGAAGCAAATGCAATAAGTATTATGGGCACCAAGACCGAGGTACAGACATGACTCTGTTCTTGTCCCAAAGGTTGGACACAGGAAGGCTGGCAGGAGCCACCACAAGTTTCTCAGACATAACTGAACTACATCTTGACATGTGAGCAGGAATCACAAGGTAAACTAGGTGGGGGCAAGAACATTCCAGGACAAATAAGATACATGAGCACCAAAGCACACAATAGCCCGGTTTGGTCAGGAAAAATGGGAAGGGTCTGCAGGGTTAGAGTAAGAACAGAGCTTCAAGGAGGGGGGAGGCAGGGGTCTCGCTTTGGAATAAAGAGTTGCTGAGGCAGTTAATCTAGGCAAGGGTGTGATCAGTCATGGGAATCTCAGAGGAATCATGCTAGAAACAGAATATTGGGCAGCTGGAGGAGATTAGGAATAAAGAGACCAGTTAGAAGAATTATGATTGTCTACACCTTAGGTTATGAGCTGCTTACACCAGTAGTTAATGGCCATGCGTCCTTTCAAAAAATATTTGAAGAGGCCCATAGTTTTCTAAGCATTGAACTAGATACTACTGGTATGTTAGTGAAAAATGATGGTGTCTGTCCTCAGAGACTTTTTGGGGCCCTGGTGACAGTGCATAAGGGTAGGTGGGAAAGGATTCAGTCACACAACAGCAGCGCGAGAGGACCAGAAGATGCCTTCCTTCCGTGTCACAGTCATATTTGGGAGGTCTGACCAGAGGCCCCCCGTCGATCCCCTCACACACTGCCGCCTCACCTCTACTTGTCGGGAAGGGCCTCACCTGGACATCTTTCTCTGTGCTGGCCACTCTGAATCTTGGAATAAACCAGGTTGTCATCGCCAGGACTCACTGTGAGAGAATAGACCACAGCTAGTTGTAGTCAAGAGCCCACATTCTAGATTCCTCTCAGCCACCAAGTTCATAACCACCTTCTTTCTCAGACACAGTGTGCCAGGAATGTCATTTTAAAATTGAATGTGACTCTGAGGTGTCTGGGTGACTCCGTTGGTTAAGTGTCCAACTCTTGATTTCAGCTCAGGTTGTGATCTCATGGCTCATGAGGTTGAGCCCCCATGTCAGGCTCTGGGCTGACAGTGTGGAGCCTGCTTGGAATTCTCTTTCTCCCTCTCTCTCTCTGTGTCTTCCCTCATATTATCTCCCTTTCTTTCTCTCAAAATTAATACATTAACTTAAAACAAATGGAATATGACTCGGTCATGGGCTGTTGCTCAGTCTTCCTCCCAGCCTGGCGTGTCCCTGGAGCCCTGAGAGCATTAGGAAATCCTCACCGTTGCTGTACACGGGCTGCAGCTCCATTAGGGATGACGGCTCAGAGTGGGTGGGCCACTGGGGGCCTGTTCGGGAGGGTCCGGACCAGGAAGACTTCTGATGCTCATTGGGATTGCTCCTGTGACAGATGGGGAGAGAGAGAGAAGTATTTGTGGATCATACCGAGTCTCAGGGAAGCCAGTGGCTAAGAGGAGCCCAGTGTGTTTCACGTAATAGTATCGTGGCTGCCTGCCCCCAGTCTGCGTGGCTCTCAAGAAAACCCAGAAGGCATGTGATGCCAGATGCAGCCCACAGCAGCCTTACAGAAAAGGTAGACAGAGGCAAGGTCAGAGGGCAAAAGTGCACTGTCTCAAGGTCTTTTTGATACAGTAAACACTTGTAATTGCCTAATTCTTTATTGTTTTCAAAATTTTAAATGCTTAAACACTGATACACAAAGACTTTCGCATTCCCACAGAACTTGACCTTGGCCTTTTTTAAAAAATAGTTTATTGTCAAGTTGGTTTCCATATAACAGCCAGTGCTCATCCCCACAGGTGCTCTCCTCTGTGCCCATCACTCTCCTTCTCCTCCTCCCCACCTCCATCAGCCCTCAGTTTGTTCTCAGTATTCAAGAGTCTCTCATGGTTTGCCTCCCTCCCTCTCCCCCAATATTTTTCCCATTCTTCTCCCCCATGGTCCTCCATTAAGTTCCTCCTAATCCTTCTATACATGCAAACATATGGTATCTGTCCTTCTCTGCCTGACTTATTTCGCTCAGGATAACACCCTCGAGTTCCATCCATGTTGCTACACATGGCCAGCCTTTTTTAAAAGGTCCCTTTCAATGTTCCAGCTCATATTACAATAATATACCTTTCCTATAAGGTACCTCGAAGGCTCTACAAGAAAAAGTTGAGGTATTTTTTTCCCAATTTTATTTCCTTCTGTAAATAATATTGTGAATTGGACACTGATCGCACTCAAAAAGGATTTTCTGAATGAGTGTGTAGTGGAGGAATGAGCAGGGGAAAGAGCGAGGGGCAGATGTGAAAGAGGGTGCCATTAAGGAAATAGAAGATTAACATGGATAGCAAATGACATTGAGTTCTGAGTATATGTAGGTCTAAGTGAGCTGTATCCACAAATACGACTGAAAGTGGCTTTCACCAATCCCATTTATGGATTTCATGAGAATTTGAAAAGGTTAATGAGTGGTCCAGTCAAATATTTTTTAATGTGCATAATTCTGTGCCCCTGTCTTGTGGGTATAAACAAATTGCGCAGATGTTGTTGTCACAAGAAGCCGAGATCTCACCTGTGTGCCCCAGGGGCAGCAGCTCCTCCTGAAAAACAAACAAAGGATCACTGATGGCGGGTGAGCTGTAGGTAATGTGCCCTACTTTAGAATGTCCTTTCCCAGAAATCAGATCCATTCTAAATCTCAGCTATGGCAGATCTTAGGGAATGTCCGGCTCCACCCCCGCCCATGTCACGTCACAGATGGGGAAGATGGGATCTTGAAAGGTATTTGCCCAGCATCATAGTGAGTGAAAACAGCATGCACTCTAAGGAGGGATGGCCACGTAGCACAAGGGAGATAGCTTAGTATTTAACTCCAGGTCTAATGGTTCCTCACTTCTTCTCTATCCTATCTGTGGCCCTGGGAGACAGAGCGCAGGAGACAGAGTCCCCACAATATGAATCAATGGGGCTACCACAACAAACTCAGAACTCTGTAACTGTGGCCCTTGCAAACTTAACCACTGTGGGCACATAATGTTTTCTCCACACCCCATCTTTCCTTCTCTTTCACTTGGCTGATTCCAACTTATCTTTTCTCCTCCAGGACTTTCCCTGTCCCCAGCAAGCTGTATGAAGTGACCTAGCTCCATGCATGTAGAACCCTGCAATATTAGAATCACTGTATTGAATGGCGATTACCCATTTGTATGTTTCCCTCTAACTCTCTCCACCATGAAAGAGTGTGTTACTTGAGGCTACAACTCATCTTAATTATTTTTGTATTCTCAGTGGCTAGAATGTTGAAAATATTCAATAAAGATTTGTTAAACAACTAAACAAGTTGAAGTATGTATTTTGAGGACTAGAAAAAAATGACAAGTTGACAATTTTATAGCGGGTGATTACATGTAAACGTAATCTGTAAGGTGACTGCATCAGCCTTGAAAATACAGCAGTTTTCCATCATCACTGAAATACTGAAATCTGTTTGGCCTGCCCCAACGCAAGACTCCTAATTTCCCATCCCTGACATTTGCCTATTTATCTGTGGCTCTCTATCTGTCTCACTGGGCTCAGAGAACAAGAGTTATTGCCCCAGGTAAACATACTCATGAAAACTGATTGATGTCTGAAAACCCTCAGTTAAACTGGAGGTGTGTGATCCTGGCTCTAGTCTCCCTCCTTAGAGCATTTGCAATTCACATCAGTCAACAGCCCATGTCCTCCCTTGCGGGTAGGTTAGCTAAGTCCCAGGATGCATCTGCAAGTCAGTTTATCTCTTAGTTTGTAACACAGAGAACAGACCCAGAAGGTGGCTATTTACATTAACACAAGTTAATATCACTGAAGATATATGGGGCAGGCGCAGTACTAAGCAGTTTGTGTAGATAGTACCAAAATGGTAGCTACTATTATACTGACCACAAAGAAAGTGGGGTTTGGAGAGTTTAATTCACCTGCCATATAGCAAGTATTTGGCAAGTTAACACTGGAATTTTCATCCAGGCAGCTCAATCCTAGTCTTTACATTTATCATTGCCTTTGGTAACAGGTTGGGTAAACTCAGGCTTAAGGGGCAAGGCTCTTCTCTTTTGGAAAAATTTAAAGGGCTGAGCTCCTCCCTGAGAAGACTGATCAATAAGGAGAAGGAAGACTTTGCTATGAGGGAAGCACAGCCAGTCAGCAAGATTTTAAGATGAGAAAGGCAGATACCCTCTGACTGGTGGACTGTCAGAATTTCTTACTGAGCTTGCTATTGAAAATAACACTTCTTCTAAGAGCTATTGCATGACTCAGTCAGTTGGGCACCTGACTTTAGCTCAGGTCATGATCTTGCACTCCTTGAGTTCAATCACCATGTCGGGCTCTGTGCTAACAGCTCAGAGCCTGGAGCCTGCTTCAGATTCTATGTCTCCCTTTCTCTCTGTCCTTCTCCTACTTATGCTCTCTCTCTCTCTCCTTCAAAAGTACATAAACATTAAAAAAAAAACAAAACACTTCCTCTAGACCTGGAAGTTAGAAACTCTTGGGCTCCTGTCCTCACGGAACACATAAAATGATGGGTGCTAATATTGCCTTCCCTGTGTTGTTTGCTGTTGTATTGACCAAGCAATCTGTTTTTTTTTTTTTTTAACATTTTCAACTTCAACAGTAAGGTTTCAGTGTCTGCACTTGTAGTTTGTTACTAATTAATAAGTGCCACCCACATAGGTGATGAGATAGAAAAGGTAGTTTTGAAAGTAGGATGTGTAACCAGCCTTTCCTAAGTCACCATGGTGCAGTGGAGAGAATTTGGAGTCAAGAGCTAGGAAGATCCCCAGATGAGCCTTAACTTTGATGCTTAATAGATATATGAATTGAAAAGTTGACTTCACTTATGAAATATCCTCATTTTTCATCTCTAATATGGTGATAATAATATTGATTGAATTGAATGTAGTTATTGAACAGTTGGGAGAAGTAGACAAACTATAAAGTTTCATATAATGGGCTCTAAATGAATGACACATTTTATGATGAGCACTATTGGCATTAGTGCTTTTATTCTCTTTATATATTTAAAAAAATGATACATGCACATAATTTCATAGGTTGTGTTATTCAAGAAAATACTAGGTAGCTTTAAAATATCAATCATAAGGGGTGTCTGGGTGACTCAGTTGGTTAAGCGTCCAACTTTGGCTCAGGTCATGGTCTCACAGTTTGTAGGTTTGAGCCCTATGTCAGGCTCTGTGCTGACAGATTAGAGCCTGGATCCTGACTCAAATTCTATATTTCCCTCTCTCTGCCCCTCCCCTGCTCATTCTATCTCTCTGTCTCTCCAAAATAAATAAATGTTAAAAAATTTAAACATCAGTCATAAAATTTTGGTGCCATTTTCATGCAAAGAACTGGATAGAAGCTCATTGATTGACATGAAAAGATGGGTAAAAAGACAATGCTTGACCAGCATCATTAAGAAAACATGTAAACTTGTTCTTTAAACTGAGATCCAAACGTTTTATTTGTTTGCTTGCTTGATACTCCATATGAGCCCTAAGAAAGGGAGAACAGAAACATTTGCCCTGACAGAAAAGGAAATGCCATGTTGTGCCAGGCAGAAGCGCAGACAGAAAGTAAAATTTTAGTAATTCCAAAATATAAAGTAAACCTTATAGGCACCCAAGGCATTGAAAAAAAGAGTCCATTAATTCAAAAATCCTTGATCCATGATAAATCATGTAGAGAGGAAAAATGCAGCCACAGGAGAACAAAGAAGGGTGGCAAATTTCTTGTCATAAACAATGCACACAAGAAGACAGTAAAGCAACATCTTTAAAATACTGAAAGAATAAAAAATCTCAACCTATAACTCTATGCCAGCAAAAATGTCTTTCACAAGGAATACAAAACAAAGTCTTTTACAGACATATAAAAACTGAAATAATTCAGCAGCAGCAGACCCATACTATTAGAAATGTCAAAGGAAATCTCTTAGGCAGAAAGAAAATGATACCAGATGGAAATATGGAGGTACAAAAAGGAATGAAGGGCATCAGAAGTGGTAACTACCTGATTAAATATGTAAGATTCTTAAATTATACTTAAGTCTCCTTAACAGGTAAGTGATTGTTTACAAAAATAACAGCAGTGTAGCTAGGAAAGAAGAAATGGAGTATACAATGGTAATATTCTTATACTATATATGAAATGATCCAAGGTCACTTGAAGATAGGCTGTGATAAGTTAGATATCTATACTATAAACCCTAAAACTACCACTAATGTAAATGAAACAAAGAATTATAAAGTTAATAAGGCAACAAAGGAAAAAATGGAATCATAAAAAATATTTAGTTGTTCTAAAAGAAGGTAGAAAAAAGGGAAAAGGAAACAAAGAACAGGTGGGACAAATAGAAAACAAACAGCAAAATAACAGACTTAGATCTAACCTTATCAACAATCACATTAATGTAAATGGTCTAAACACTTTAGTTAATAGGTATAGATTGAAATATTGGATTAAATGGCAAGAATTAATTATGTTATCTACAAAAAATGCTTTAAATATAAGGACACATATAGGTTAAAAGTAAAAAGATGACTGGAGAAATACCATGTTAATACTACTTACATTAATATCAAAGACTATTTCAGAGTAAATGACACCAACAGGGATAAAGATATTATTTCATAAGGATAAAGTGGTCATTTCATCAAAAATACAAATAATAGAAACACTAATGCACCTAATAAAAGACGTTCCAAATACCTGAAGCAAAGCCTAATAGAATGTAAGAAGAAGTGGATAATCCACAATTATATTTGGCAATTTCAATACTCCTCTCTCAGTAGTTGATATATCAAGTAGAAAAGCAGTAAGGACGTAGTAGACTTTAGCAACAGTATCAGTCAAATTCACCAACAGACCCCTACTATAATAAATGCAAAAAGAAGTACTTCAGGCAGTGGGGGTGCCTGGGTGGCTCAGCTGGTTGAGCGTTTGACTCTTGATCTTGGCTCAGGTCATGATCTCAAGGTTTGTGAGTTTGAGCCCCTCATTGGGCTCTGTGCTGACAGCATAGAACCTGCTTGGGATTCTGCCTCTCCCTCTCTTGGTCTCTCTCTCTCTGTCTCTCCATCTCTCAAAATGAATAAATTAACAAGGAAAAAGAAAGAAGTACTTCAGGCAGGAAGAAAATGATACCATATGGAAATACAAAAAAATAAAAAATACTAGAAGTGGTAACTCTGTGGGTATTACCTTGACATCAAGTCAAAGGCAGGATAAGAAAATAAAGCTATCAAGCAATATCTTTCATGAACCCAGATGCAAACATTCTTAACAAAATTTTACCAAATCGAATTCAACAAACATGACCAAGTGAAGCTGACTTCAGAAATGCAAGACTGGCTTAACATTCAAAACTTAAAATCCATATCACTTGACTGGAAAAGAAAATCATATGATCATCTCAGTCAATGTAGAAAAATAATTTGACAAGCCTGTTTTCTTTAAAAGCCCTCAGCAAATTACAAATGGTAGGGACTTTCTTAGCCTAATAAAGAGAATCTATAAAGAATCCACAGCTAACATTATCATACTTAACGATGCTTAATGATGAGACTAAATACTTTCCCCTAAGATTAGAAACAAGACAAATATGTTTGCTGTCACCTACCACTTCTATTCAACATTGTACAGGAGGTTCTAGCCAGCACATTAGTGCATTAAGGCAGAAAAAGAAATAAAAAGAACCCAGATTGGAAAGGAAGGAGTAGAACTACCTTTATTTGCAGATGACAGAATTACCTATGTAGAAAATCTGATGGAATCTATAAAACAGAGACTGGAACATATAAATTTGTTTATAGCAAGGTTGCAGGATACAAGACCAATACACAAAAATCAGTTGTGTTTCTATACAGTAGCAATGATAAGAAACTGAAATTTATTTATTTCGTTCTCAGAGCCTTTATTAGTTTTACCCAAATTTCACATTACGTGACTGGCATTCAAATATATCTCAGTTTATGGTTGATATCTATGGCTGTTGTCTATTTTTTGTTACAAATGGAAGGAGTTTTCTTTTTTTATTCCTTTGTTCTCAGTAAGCTTTGAGCCAGGGGTGGAATGGTAAATACTTACTTTTCTGATTTTTTTTTCTAATCATAATCATCACTAGTTTTTTTTTTTTTTTTTTTTTTAATAATTTTTTTATTTTTATTTCAAGGAGAGAGAGAGACAGCGCGAGCAGGGGAGGGTCAGAGAGAGAGGGAGTGACAGACTCTGAAATAGGCTCCAGGCTCTGAGCTGGCAGTCAGCACAGAGCCCGACGCGGGGCTCGAACTCATGAACCGCGAGATCATGACCTAAGCGAAAGTCGGACGCTCAACCGACTAAGCCACCCAGGCGCCCCGTTACCTTTCTGATTTTTAATTGGAAGCAAACTCTGCGACTTGATTTAGATCTCAAATTAAACATATGGAGTAACAACCTTATTGAGAAATTTATGTTGCCACTTGCCTACAGAGGGTCTAGTATCTGGGAGGGAATAATGACCTTACCGGAATGCATCACATAAATCCAAATTGTTATAACAATGGCAAGAGTCACAAAACCGAAGGGCAAGACAGAGACACCCACCTGATTTCCTTTGGGACCTGAAGCGACCAACCAGAGCAGCAGTAGCAGCTAGGCCAAGCATGCTTAGCAACCACCCGAAGACTCCCACAGTGATATGGGTTACCTTGTTCATGGAAAGCCCTACATGGGAAGAGCTATGTTTGAGTTCCAGTAGCAAATGTTTTTTATCCAGACAACATGTCAGTGGGGGCTAGAGGTCTATCGGGGCAGGTTTCTCCTGGATTCTGAATTCTCCATTTGAATGATTATCTCCATGATAATTTGTACTTTTCAAAATAATAGCACATGATTGTTAGTATCTAAGATTGAAATAGATTCCCTTTCCTTCCCCCATGAAGCCAGCACCAATCTCTAGAAGTCCCAAGCCTTGGGGGTGCATTTTCGAAAACTCTTTGATGCTGGTAGACTGTGTACAGTCTGTAGGGAAAATATTTTATTGATCTTGACTAACCTGTAGGCCAGCTATACCCAACCCACCTGTGACGTTGAGTGACACCGCCTCACTGCGCTGGGCCCCCAGGCCATTGTCAGCCCCACAGGAGTAGTTTCCAGAATGTTCTGTGGTCAGAGAGAGGTTAAAAGATGCTCCTCCTCCAAAGGGGGCTGAGGTGTTCCCCAGGATGACATCCTCATGATAAAACCAGTATAAGATTGGGGGAGAACCCCTCTGGACCTCGCAGCGAAGTTCTAACACATCTCCCACCATGATCTGGGCCACAGCAGGGTTGAGGGTGAAGACAGGGCGAGACACTGGAACTGAAGAAGGAAACATTTCATTGGAAGTTTTAACTGAGTATGTACACCAGATAATAAAGGAAATATTCAGCATGATTTAGTGGTAGGAACCTGGACCTGGGATCAGGAGAACTAAGTAACTTTGAGTCCTGTCTCTGTCCTTTATCAGTTCTATTATGTTGATGTCTTGAAAGTTTCAATATTTCTGAGTCTCATTTTTATAACACACATTTAAAGCTGGTAACGTTGTACATGTATATAGTTAAAAAACAAACATTTGGGGTGAGTGTCCAACACTTTTGCCAGTGGTGTGGGATCATGACAAAATCCAGAGAATGTAAAGGTTTGAATCACTGGAAGTCATTGCCATATCTCTTTTATCCTAACATTTTCCCTATGCCCCAGTGCTCCACTCCAGCCCCCAAGTGCCATGCACTTTGGAATAATCCTGGTCTGGACGATGGGTCTTCCCTAAGTGGATGTGCACGTTGCTGTCCACATGAGCTGGAAGTGGGAGATGCAAGATGCCTTGGGTCCTCTGGTGAGGAAAAATTTTGTTTGGGAATGCTGAGAACAACAGAATAAATTTCCTATTGTTCAAGGAGTCAGATGGCCAGAGAGGTTATTAGAGTCTGAAAGCCATGAGAAAGCTTCGTAGCTCTGGCTCCCAGGAGCATCCACAAGGAGAGATGCTGTCTCATAACCCAGCAGGCGTGTAGTAATGGGGACTGGATGGGAGTAGTGGTGGAGCACGTGGGCAAGGCCCGGTCTCGTCACTTGTTCTTAGACAAAGGAATTGAGAAATAAAGCTTTCTATCTGCTAAGACATCACATATCTGGTATTTTGGAAAGTCTGTGAGCCTCTGATAGAAAGACTGGAATACGTGACTGTTAATGACAATGACAAAGAAATAAAGGAGTCGGCTGAGTTTTGGAATGTGTATTCACAAGGAAGAGTCCAGGAAGGCCTCAGGTGGAGGCAGAAGTGGGGAGTTTTCTGGGACGTCACCCCAGCAAAAGGCCCAGAAGGGGCTCTCTGTGAGAAGACATAATCTGTTCTCAATTGTGACTGTTGAGAGCATGTGCTTACCCATGACGCTGAGTGACACCACCTCACTGCGCTGAACTCCTAGGCTGTTGTTGGCCTCACAGGAGTAGTTTCCAGAATGTTTTGCGGTCAGAGAGAGGTTGAATGATGCTCCTCCTCCAGAGGGGGCCAAGCTGTTCCCCAGGGCGTCCCCCTCATGGTAAAACCGGTACAGAATTGGAGGAGAGCCCCTCTGGGCCTCACAGAGAAGCTCCACCACGTGCCCCTCCACGGCCTGGGCCCAGGGCATCCTGACAGTTAGGACGGGGCGGGACACTGGAACTGAGGGAGACAGGGGGCCATCAGACAAGGTTTGTGACAGGGTGACACTATGACAGATTAATGGCTCTACTCAACGACCCTAAGAGTAGACATCCTCCTTGAACCACGGGGAGGAATCCTGGATAATTTTGTTTTTTGTTTTCCTTACTACTCCGTCTTCTCCAAGAAGTAAATTGGCCATTAAATCTTCATACCTCTGTTCCTTGCTTCCTTCAGAAGATCCTCGTGGTTGACAGAGAACCTAAACCTCAGCGTGGGAACAGGGCCAAGTGACAGGAATGAGGAACTTACTTCTCAGCGTGATTCTGATCCGTTTACTGAGGATGGGGCCGTCCATGTTGTCGGCCGCACAGTAGTACCTCCCGGCATTCTGCTCCCTCATGGAGGCTATCCGCAGCTCGGCAGACAGGGCGCGCCGGGTCTTCCTGCCCAAACTCCTTTCCAAGCCCTCCCGGTGCCAGGAGAACATGACAGTCCCTGTTCCCTCAGCTGCTGAGCAGATAAGGACCAGATCTTCTCCTTCAATCAGCTGGCCCACAGGGGGCTCAGTCTCTAGATTCACATCAGACACAGGAATCCCTAGGAGGACAGAGGAGGGCCTGGCAGGGTCTCTGTGGCAGGTGGTGCGGGACCAAAGAGAAGGCTGGTGTTGCCTTAAATAAGCCAGTAGCAGCAGGTGCAATGGGCAGGGGTCTTTTATATTTTTAATTAAAAAATGTTTACTTATTTTTGAAAGAGAGAGAGAAAGACAGAGTGAGAACAGGGGAGGGGCAGAGAGAGAGGGAAACACAGAATCCAAAGCAGGCTCCAGGCTCTGAGCTGGCGGTACAGAACCTGATGTGTGGCTCGAACCCCTGGACTGTGAGATCTTAACTTGAGCTGAAATCAGATCCTTAACTGACTGAGCCACCCAGGTGCCCCAGCAGGGATCTTTTAAAGGAGGAAGTAAGAAATTGCAGGAATTTTGCAAGAAATGCAAAACCTGTCCCCTCCACCCCCCCACACCGATTCTCATCCTTGGGTAATGTGGGCACCAAGCCTATGATCTTCTTTTAAACCTAATGTTGACCACAGTCAATTTTATGGACCCTTATCTCTGATGCATCGACAGACCACGGAGAAAGTGAGAACACTGGGAAGGCTGCTCAGATCCTGATGTGACTTGATCAGAATCCAAACCCCTCTCCACCCTTTAAGATTTCTCCAGTCTCAGCTCCATCTCCCCACATTCTTCCCTGGCTATTCCAGTTTGTGTTTCTCTTCCTCTTTTCATGTTATTTTGGAATAATTTTCAGTCAACACACGGATGCATCATAGGGGCCACTACGGGCTGCATGTGGTCCTCAGTGCTTCTTGCTCTCTGTTGACCCACAAGGAAACACATCCCGTTTGTGTCTGTGGCCCCCACAGGGCTGGGCACCCTGTACATAATCAATAACTACTACCACCTAACTCAGAGGGTAAAGGATGTTACAGGGAAGTTAAGCCAGTGCCGAGCATAGAAGAAAAGGATGACAGGATGCCTGGCTGTTATGCTCAGGCACATTCATGATCCCAGGGAGCAAGAATTGCCTCACAGACACTCACTTTGAACATGTATCTGGGATCTTGGGCTTGTTTTCATGATCCTGGAAGTCGTTGTTCTTGCTAAGCACCAGTAGGCCACAGAGTCTTCACTCCACATGGTGGGGATATGGAACTCCGGGGAGTTGCTCCAGCCCAACCCCAGAAGCTGATTTTCTTTGAAGAAACAAAACTGAAGCCTAATGTGTGTCCTCTGTGGAGGGAGCCAGGTCTCACATTTCAGGGTCATAGGGCTCCCCTCAATGGGCTGGGAGGGGCTGGCTGTCAGCACAGGACTCGGAAACAGCTCTAGAGAGAAGAACAAATGTAGTTCCCAGGTCAGTGAGGCTCTGAGCTTCTGGGAAGGTGTACCTGTGTCCTCAGGACTAGCATCCAGAGATAGGGACCCATGTGGATCGAGCTACCTCCTGTCTCCCTCCCATGGCTGCTTGGAAGAGGTTGCTCATGGAATCCCCACTGACAAGCACCTCTCTTCGATCCCCACATGCTGATACCTTGCCAAGCCTATTACTCATAGGAGTGTAGCCATTACCTTGAACTTGGATCTTTAAAGGATTTGAAGTTTCTATCCACAGATTCCAAAAAGATTCCCTAGAAGCAGTACAATGATATGTGCTATCATCATCCAAGGGTGGATATACTGTGATGTTTGAGTTATAATGACTTCGAATTATTTTTTTATTTTTGTAGTAAGATTTTTCCATAATTTCTTCTTCCTTTTTCCCTCGGCATCTCAGAACTACTGGATCTCCTTCAAAGACAGGGTGTGAAGCCTGGAGGATCAGCCAGTCTGCAAAGAGCAAATCAACATACTCCATCTATTTCTTTCTTCAAACTCTCATTTCTGCCTGAGGAGAAAGAGCCCTGCCTACCCCTGTGAACATCCTCCACCACCATTTCCACATGGCCCCAGTACCCTGTACTCCCTTGTCCTAAGCCAGTGAACTAATTTTCAGACAGGTCCTTATGAATCCTCATAAGTGTTGTTAAAAGAGGAATTTTACACCCTATCTTTCTTCAGACCTGAGTCCCTTTCTGCCCGGTGGCTTCTGGGTTACTGACTCGTCTCTGACTGGAGGAGACAGACAATGTACAGTACTCTGCAGCCCTATCTCCTTATTTCCCCTCTGGGATCAGCTCACTGAATAGCCTCAGGCCTATTCACAACCCTGTCTGGGCTCCCTGTGTTCAGTCAGGCTCCAGACATGCTGCCCAGGGGCTGAATTTCAGAGACTCACCCCCTTCTTTCCTCACCAGTTAAAAACTGCACATGCACGGGGTTGCTGAGGGAAGATCTTTGGGTCTTGCAACTGTAATATCCAGATGTTTTTATTTTGATTTTTTCAGATTGGTTTTCCAAGTGACGCCCATTGTGATACCAAGATATGGATTCCTGGGCTAGAGGATGGTGATCCTTACAGATGAGAGTCACTGTCTCTCCTTTGAAGGCGGTGGACCATGGAGGTTTGAGGAGAAGTAAAGCTTTTGGAAGTGCTCCTGAACAGGAAAGAGAAGAGTTCAGGCAGGTGAAGGTGAACAGCACATGGGTGGACACCAGGGGAGCCTACAGCTGGGAAGGGAAGGGAGCCGACACCACCCACGGACACTCTTGGGTGGAGTCTGTTCTTCCTCAGCCTGGAGGTGGGCAGGGGGGTGTCACAGGGGAGAGGTCTCAGGCCCCTGGTGTGGGCTCCAAAAAGCTCAGGAGCCATGACGTGTAGCTGGGCAAACACTGTCCGGCCTCTGAGGCTAGGCTGATTCTGAAATGCTCTCGCCCTCTACATTCCCGCCAAGGCACAGGTGGGCCTGGGCTGTGTGCACCTCAGAAGCCCTTTCTAGACTCTGAAAAACCACTTCCTACTTGGTTGCTCATAATTAATCAACACTTTTTCCACTTTTGTTACTTTTAAACATTGTTCCACTTGAGACTTCATGGGGAAGGAGACTTGTGTCTGCTCTCCGGCTAAGCCAGACACAATAAAAAAATGGAGGGCTATAAGGAATTGGAACGGAGAGGCATGGGCTGCCTGAGAAACCGCCTCTGTGGATGGAACTGCACCAGACCAACGGGACCAGAAACTGAAGCATGACCACAGCACAGCCTCTGTGAATGGGAGCGATCTCTCTGTCCTTTGAAGGTGGCTCTGGTTGAACATACAGGGTGGGGGGGAGGGGGTCCTTAGGGAAGAGAGGAGACACAAGGAAGGTTCTGGGCATTAGCCTCCTGTCTCTGCAAATGCTTCTTTCACTTGGGCAAAGGAGGAGAGAACTGAAGGCTGGAGAGATCACAGGAAGCTCTGCTCGCCCACCATGGCCACAGGTGTCACCACTGGTGTTGACACATCCCCGCAGCCTCCACTTACGGGGCCAGGCTGGCTGGCCGGAAGGACCCACATCCAGGGAGCAGGAGGAAGGATGAGGGAAGACTGACCTGCTGGATGTTGTCCGGGAGCTGTGTGAGAGCCAAGGGTGAAATGTTAGCGCAGGCCGTGCTGGGACAGCGTTTTTAGTGAGACTCTGAGACATTCCCACGGCCCGGCCACAGCCACGGCTGTTTCTCCGGCTTTTCCTCCCATTTCTTGGCCCGCATTCCATACCTCCAATGGCCCCCTTCACCCCTCCCCCCACAAAAACACAGCCTATGATTTATGGGATAAATGATAACGGCTCGGCTCCACACTCCTGGCCTCCTTGCTGGGCTCGAATCAGCAGGGGCTCTCTTCTCTGGCCTGAACTGGACACTGAGGCCAAGGCAGAGAAGGGCCTGGAGAAACGGCTTACTCCCCCACCCCACCTCACTGCTTGGGCCCCGTTCCTCCGACTGCTTTCAACCTCTGGTTAAACATTGACTTAATGTCTCAGCTATGTTCCTCTACACCTTCCCTCCCTCGCCTGTGTGGGCCCAAATTGCTTATCTGAGTGTTTAGAGGTGAGGTCCAGCAGAGAGAAAACCCAGGCTTCCCAGGAGGTTAGAGAGGACACAGCGGGGAATCCCTGGGTACCACACTTGGCTTGCTCTGGGGGTCGCTGGACCCTTTTGGTTTTCCTGGGCACCAGCTCTACTCACTTCCTACCTCTTGCTGTGTCTCTGAAGCCCAGGAAACAGAGACAGAAGCCTCCCCGTGACTTTGCCCCCCACCCTGGTTTTGGCCTGGCTGACGTTAGGAACGTAGGCCCCAGCCCAGTCTGGGCTCTACTCACCCAGGATCAGCAGCAGCAACCACAGAAGCATGGAGTTCGGGCCTGGCTGAGGGCAGGGGAAGACCGTCTCACCAAAAGCCAGGCTTCCCTCTCATCTGTGAGGGAAGTACGGAGAGCGGGACTCAGATAAGGCCAGCAAGAACCAAAGAAGAGGAAGGAAAGCAATCATATCTTGCCTGTGTTCTCAGACCATGACGTGACTGCCTCCCTAAATGTCGTCTGTCTTTCAGGGATGGCCGATGGGAGCTTTTAGATGTTGGCAGCAGCCTTCCAATGCTTCACAGCTGTCAAGAAAGCCGCCCAAGGCTGTGCCTGGCTTCTCTGATAATGCCACGCTGCAGATCTGCTGGTATTCAAATAACATTTTCCTCATTTTTCGGATGGAAACCCCCTACCTTATCTTACATTCACACAAACTTTAGTGTCACATGAGGTACCAGTATAGACAGAGGTCGGGAGTGTGCTGTGTGGGTACATGTTAGAGTGTGAGCCCCACAAAGTCAAGGTGCCAAACCAGATGTAAAACACTTTTGACTTTTGCATATGCTGTCCTGAAGCTGCTGAAGAGGTAAATAGTAGAAATTTGCAGGGGCGCCTGGGCGGCTCAGTCGGTTGAGTGTCTGACTCTTGATTTCAGCTCAGGTCATAATCTCAAAGTCATGAGAGTGAGCCCTGCATCTGGCTCAGCACTGACAGTATGGAGCCTGCTTGGGATTCTCTCTCTCTCTCCCTCTCTCTCTGCCTCTACTCCATTCACTCGTGTGATCTCTCTCTGTCTGTCTCTGAGGCAGCAGGGTGCCCTTTTGGCTCAGTCAGTAGAGTATATGACTCTTGATCTTGGGGTTGTGAGTTCCAGCTCCATGTTGGGTGTAGAGATTACTTAAAAAACAAAAACAATGATGGGCATGGAGGAGGGCACTTGTGGGGATGAGCACTGGGTGTTATATGGAAACCAACTCGACAATAAACTATTTTAAAAAAAACCAACAAAAACAAAAACAAAAACAGAACCCTCTTCAGATTCGCAAAAAGGGCTTCCCAAAGTCCCACTCTGACCTGCGCAGTAGGGTGGTGAATGGACAAGCACACAAACAGGAAGCTGTTCAATGCAGGTGACACTGGCTGGGCCCCTCCCCTCTCCCCTCCCCCCGCACTGTGATTCTTACCATTGCAAGATGCCTCCAGCATTAACCTTCAGGAAACATGGGAGGAAGAAAAGGTTTATTACTTACATGTCCTGGAAACGATATCACACACCTGTGGCCACAATACGATATCACAGGCTTGGGGTTCTTCTGCTTTTACTGGGGTCCAGGGGTGGGGAGGGCTACTTAGGATTCCTGGGCTTAACTCTTTATCAGTGAATTTAAAATATAAGGGCAGGAATTTAAATGCGTGAAGAATGAGAACAAGCGGTCCAAATGGTCAGTTACCAAAATCAACCAAGATCAACCGCAGGCTGGAGACAGGTGCCTGCCCTGCACAGGACAACCCCAGGGGCTCACACACAAGTCCCATGTCTGACTCAGACCCTCCCCAGCCTCATGGTCCAAGGGTCCCTCCTGATTACTTCCTGTTTCAACCCCGCCTACGTTTCTTACTGTCGATTTCCCTCCCTAGGTCTGCAGGGTTTGCAGCCATTATTTGCTTATCTTTCTGGGCCTTTCTCCCTCCTGAAACTCTCAAGGTGTGTTGATCAGCCTCTTGGGGCTTCTCCCTTTCCTTTCTTCACTCTTTCTCATCTTTTTCTCTTGGCTCCCCTAACTGAAGTATTCCCGCCAACCTGTCTTCAGTTGTCTGGTCCTTGCTTTCCTGGGGTCTCCTCTGCTGCTGAATCGCTTCCGTAAATGTTTCAGGTCAGCTGTGTTCTTCTGTTCCGATTTCTGTTTGGTTCTTTTACATGGTTTCTATCTCTTTGTTGTAGCTCTTCCTTGTCCATGCATGGCTCCCTGGACCTCAGTGAGTGTCTTTATGGGATTATTTTTAATTCTCTGTCAGGTAAATCCTATAATTCTACTTCATTAGAATTTGTTTCTGGAAATTAAAAAAAATTTTAATGTTTATTTATTTGAGAGAGAGACTGAGTGTGAGTGGGGGAGGGGCAGAGAGAGAGGGAGACACAGAATCCGATCTAGGCTCCATGCTCTGAGCTGTCAGAACAGAGCCTGATGCGGGGCTCAAACTCGCAAACCTGAGATCATGACCTGAGCCAAAGTCGGACGCCTAGCCCACTGAGCCATCCAGGCACCCCAGGGAAATGTAAAATGTTACTGTGTTTGGTACTTCTTTGCCTGCTTCTTCATTTTCCTTGACTTTCTGGGTAGGTGCCCATTCATTAGACAAAGAATACACCTTTCCAGGTCTTGGCAGACTGGCCCCATGCAGGAGAAAACCCCTGCAATCAGCTCATCTAGAGATTCTGGGGTGATCTATACCCCTTTCCCTCCTCGGGGAGAAACAGGTAGCTGTGATTCCTGTCTACTTACTCTGTGCTGAAGTGGGGCGGGGATTAGCTATGGCGTCCATCAGCCCAAGGTACATCACTACTCTCCCTCTGGCAGTTAGACTACACAACCTCATCAGAGTATCAAGACTATTGAGGTGGATGTTGGCTTTTCGGACAGCCTCCGAGAAGTTGAGGTGCTGCATACATGAATCAACTCTTTTGCTTCCCAGGAAGGAAGCTGAAAACTGGGATTTTTGTCTTGTTACTGTGTGCTGAGCAGGGGAGGATCACTGATATCTTTCAGGGCCATCTACAGACTCTTCACACTTCCCTGGGTGGTTAGACTTGTTGGAGCTCCAGACAGGCCAGGTAGAAGATGGTCCTGTAGGAAGCAGGGGGTCCCAGATTCAGGAACTGACCCCTACGTCTTCTGGGTGAAGATGGGTTCTAGGGACTCTCTTGCTGGTCTTGTGATGCTGTGTCAGAGGCAGAGTCCCCAGGGAGAGGGTCCCCTGGCTCTGATGGGCCTCAATTCATGTTCTCATGGGACATAGAAGTCTTTCATTAGTTTCTGATTTCTTTCACAAAGGGAATTTGTCTGTAAGCCATTGCTGGGTTGGTTTGTGGGAAGGTGTGTGCAGGGCTTCCCATGCTACCATCTCACCCAAATCCCAAATTCCATTGTGTTTTCAGTGCCCACTTCCAGAGCTTTGTTATCTGGTAATTTGCCAATAAGTAGTTGCTGAATGAGTGGAAGACCAATGGACGACAAAGAGCAGGATAACAATTGAAGAAGTTCAGACATTAAGATAGTTTCTGGGGCACCTGGGTGGCTCAGTCGGTTAAGCATCTGACTCAGCTCAAGTCATGATCTCACCGTTCATGACTTTGAGCCCCACATCGGGCTCTGTGCTGACAGCTTGGAGTCTGGAGACTCTTTCAGGTTCTGTGTCTCCCTCTCTCACTCATACTCCATCTCTCTCTTTCTCAAAAATGAATAAATATTAAAAAACTTTTTAAAAGGATATTTCCTTAGTCACTCCTGGTTAAAGATTTCTGCAATATTCTAGAGATGAAGTATGGGTTACGTTGCTCTAAACTACATTAAACTGTTTATTAAAACTGTACTCCATTTGTTGTGAAGTGTGGGGTTATTGTAAACTATTGATTATACAGAGTGTGGACGTCACTTCTTCTAAGAGGTCTTTCCCGACCTGCTGAATTTGAGCTGGGTGTTCACCGTTTGTGCTTTAATAACACTCCAATTTCCTCCGCAGAGCTTTCAGCCCAGTGCAGCCTAATCTCTTGTGTCTTTGACAGTATTTCCCAGAAATGTCAGCACCTTTAGGGAGGGAAATGGCTCAGTTTTGATTTCTCTGTGTCTGGCACAACTGTCATCAGAAGAAAGAGTCCATTGAATATGGACAGCTTTGAGATGTAGTGTGTTCAAGACCAACATACTCTACACGTGAACGAATAACCATTCCATGGTTGAAGGTGGAGATGATGCTGATTCGTGTGAACCATTATTTCCTTTGTCTGGAAAGTGTTTAGGAAGCAGCCTTCTGAATGCTCTGGCCCCTGTGGGGCCAAGAATACTGGATTTTCTATCTTCCCCTCTGTAAGGCAAGGACGTGTCAGGTGCATATTATAGTCTTAGCTTCTAGCACAATGCATGCCATTAAGTGTTGTGTTGCCAGATACAGAGTCCCCAGTAGATTTGAATTTCATACAAAAACACATATTTTTTATTGTTACTACATCTCATACAATATTTGGGATACATTTACACTAAAAAAGAGTCTTTGTGTATCTGAAACTCAAATGTAACTAGAAGTTTTGTATTTTTAGTTGCTGCATATGGCAAACCTAACTGGACAGAATCATTTCCGATTTGCATGAATAATGTGATGAGTGTTGTGTCGGGGGCACTGGCTCCCTGTGGTTTGTGGGGACTCCTGCTCACTCCTCAGCTTGCCCCACCCTGGAGAAAGGAAATGATTCACCTGGTAAATTTGGGGGAGTGATCAAGGAGGGGTGCCAAGCCAGCTCCGCCTTGGATGCAATCCTGCTTGTAGGGAGGTCTAGTCTCTGTGCAGGCACAGACCTTCCCCCGAACGGGATGGAATCTGGAATTGTGAGACACAAAAACAAAGGAGCCGCATATTCACAAGGTAGTCTTTCCGCGTTGGGATTCGGTGAGAGGAGGGCATTTGCTCATGTCAGGGACTCATACTGGACCATCTTTCCAAGTTTACTGAACCTGCAGCCTCGGGGCGTATGGTGTTGTGACCTTGCTAAGTGACATCGGCTTGCAGTGTTTTTATGAAATAGACCAGGGGATGTTTCTACAGGGCAGGACTACCCCATGGATACCAATAAGGAAAGGGGTCAGTAGCCTCACTGGAAACCTGGAGGGAGCTGGGGAAATCCATTGTGAGCAGGAACGAATGAGGCAGGGCTGTAACTATGGGCACTAAGCACAGGGATGGCCAGGAGGGCTGCCTGGCAGCAGAGCCTTGGGGGGTCAGGGGTGACCCCATAGAGGTCAGGGTGGCCTGAGGAGCTTTCCAAGGTGCTCCCAGCTTCAGCGCTACAGCCTGGTTTAGTGAAAAGAAATCTGTGAAGCTTTTTAAGGCCCTG